TCAGGTTTTAAAACGTTGACTAATTATGAATTTTGAACCCTTATTTTAACCTTTTCAAACGTTAAATAATTGATAAGTATAACTGAATTAATAAATTACCTTTTTCTTTTTTATAACTTTTCAAAACAACTACCAAAATACTATTGCAAATCAATATCATATACAATCTCATTGGATGCTTTTCCCAAATACTAATGTCAACATAATGTCATCTTTGGTTATCACCCGTGGCAAATTATGATGCCAGTCCAATTTTAATTGAAAATAAAGGGATTCTTTACTTGACAAAAAGCTAGACATTCCACTAAAACTGGATGCCATGGTAAAGTTACTTTATACTTTTAAAAAAGAATGCCAATAAATAAAATAAGAGAATAGACATTATCATAACCTGCGCTCTTTTACCAGTTTAACAAAACAATGACGGCATTTTAGTCCCGGGTTGGGTGGGGTTTATAAGGCGTCAACCTTAAATAATTAAAGTAAGTGATGTTCTAAATGTTGTTAAAAGATGTAGCTCAGATGTTAGAAATCGTTATAATTATATAAATATCTACTTCGACTCTTAATTATAAAATTTAAAGCTCCAAACATAAAGTAGATCGAGCGGATATAAAAACTTTTGAAACTTTTGAAAGTGAATAATCAAGATAATGTATTACAAGATGCAATATTTTTAAAACTTGAAATCGTTTTTCTTTTCATATCTATATTTATCTAGGTCGAGATGATCAAATGTAGAGTTTTTCAACATATCCATATGCATTTGTAAGGTGTGCCTTACTTCAATAATATAAGGTGGATGCCTTATATAATTCTTTTTGTTCCTTATAGTCATCCTCCACCAAGAGTATCCTTATGCCAATTTTATTCATTCCGTATGAACTCGAAAACCTTGTTTCTATAATTGATAGTTATATTAATATTGTCAATAAAACCTAACACCTCATTGTCATTATTAGTTAACAAAATCAAAATTATAAGGATGTGGTTTGCACAAGGTTGCAACAAGGCGCACCTCCAAATTTTATAATAGGATTTAATTTTGTGTCAAAAGTTTTTAAGATGGTTTGAAAATCCATTTTTATAAGTTAATTATAAAATTTTAAACTCAAAAAATAGTTCAAATCAAGAAGATCTATAGATATATGAAAATCTTGAGACTGATCCAAATAATGTATGGAAAGATTTACAATTTTTAAGACTAAAATTTTTGTTACATAAATACATCTCAATGTTTAGATGACCAATTAGAGAGTTTTTCAATATCAAAATAACCTAAGATGGAGTTTTGAAATGCACCTTGATTCTATATTTTAAAGATGCAACTTTACATGAACTTTTTTGAAATTATAATTTACTACAAAAATAATTTAAAATAATATAAATCAGAAAGTTGTGATACAATCA